GGCGAACAGCACGAACATCTTGAAGCGCGGGCAGGGGGAAGATGCAGAAAGTCGTAGTCCAGGACGGGATGGGCACTGGATCGTCGGCCTGCGTGCCCCACTCGACGTTTGGCGGCGAAGACAGGGGCCCAGTGCTGGGCCTCGGCGCAAAATATCCCCGAAGTGGCCGTCGGCGCAGAGCCATCGAGCGCCGCGCCGCTAAGGTGCAGAGTTTTGTTCCTCGGAGCCGAGGTCATCATCTCGCGGTTGGCGGCTCGAAGTTGCCGTCGCAGCTGGGCGGCCCGCGCGCGCTGAGGCCGAGCGCTCAGCTGAGCTCGGAGGTCGCGCGGGCGTCGCGCAGCATTGGGCCGCTGAACTTCGCTTGGCCACCCAAGCCAGTCAGTGGCAGACGAGAGGGCCACTCGGTCGCCTCCGATCACCAACTATCACCAAGAAGTCCGCTGCCACAGGATGAGAACGGAGACGGCGAACGGCCTTGGCAATGCAATGCCGCCACGCAAATCCAGCTATGGGGGCGTGCCAGCTGGAGCAGCGTCGCAAGGCGATGGGGATCAGCGAAAGCGAGCCGGCCACTGGTCAGGCGCGCCACGTCCTTCAGCAAGCTCTTGCATCCCCCAGCGGCCCGCGGCGGGGACAGGTGCGAGAGGTCAGGGAACGGCGCGCGGGCGGCGGGGATCTTCGCGGAGATCTTAGAGTCCCGCGCGCGGTTTGAGATGGGCTGCCCCGGTGGGTCACGTCGCTCCTTCGGCTCCGGCAGGAAGGAGACGGCGGCGCGATCGCTAACATGGCGGGCACAAGCGTGTCTCGGCGATTGGCGCAGGAAGGCGCGCGGGCGCGGCCAGCGGATCACCCGGCCAGGGAGGGCCACGAAACAGCGGCCCAAAAGAGATATCGCGTTCGTCGCCGCCGCGAAGCGAGTGCCGAGATCTGCTCCAATCTACAACGGCGCGTCGAGAGCACCTCGCCAAAGGCTGGCTCGGGCACGCAGATGACCAGAATATTCAGCAGCTTGAGGGAGATGGACTTGGAGAGGAAGGTCATCAACTGGCGCCACAGTGAAACCTCCGACCGCAACCAAAAAGAGAAATGATGAGGGACCCACTCAACCGCGGGCCGACGTTGGCCAATCTCGAAATTAATCAGACGAAGCTGCGCAGGATTCAAGCCGCGCGCGGGCTTGGCAGTAGACGAGCGTGAACTGGCCGAGAGACAGGGCGCGAAGAACGCGGCCAGGCACCAGTGCTTGAACTGCCGACGTCGCAGACCATGGGGCACCTGGAGGAGGCAAGGTGGCCAATCCACCACGTTGCACACCAGCGTGGCCGCCCATGAAGAAGGACAGGACAGCGGCCCCAGACTAGACCGGATGCACATAACGAGATAGCTCGCGATGTCTTCCATGAGCGTACTTCAGAGAAAGAACCGAGCGGCCAGGAAAAAGATAACGAAGATGAATGCCTTGGTGCTTGTCTTGGCCCCCTTGCACTGGAAGAGTGCGCGGGCATTCCAGGAGGCGAATGCGAGACGCGCCTGCGGGTCTGCCACGCCCCCAGGCCAGAGCGATTCATTCAACGGCTTGAAGCAAGCACCAGTCTGGTTCAACGCGCCCACCTGATACCATTGGGTGACGGCGCGGCAAACCCGCGAACTTCTGCCGAACAACTTCCCGAAGAAATGGAAAGAACGAATCGCCTAACTTTTGGCCGCGAGCGAACCCGCGAGCTTGTGCCGAACAATTTCCTGAACAAATGCGTAACACATCTGTGAAGCTTCCACCGCAAGCAAGCCCGCGAAGATGTGCCGAACAACCTCCCGACCAAACAAAAAGCTGTTCGGTTACTGTTCGGGGGTCGGTTCGGTAGAAGTTCAGAAGTTGGTTCTGGAGTTCGTGGGTTTGCTGTAGTCGTATCCAGTACGTCCTGCTCGTCGAAGTTCGAATCATCAAAGAGGAATCGATTTGACTGGAGTTTTGGCCCGGGCTCGCAGAGGCTGGGCTTCAATGTTGATAGCATCAGCCCAGTTGTGCGAAATGACCGCGCGCTCGCGGTCGAAGCACCAGGTGCCGTCGCACTTCTGGATGAGCTCTTGCTTGGTCTTCTTTCCGAAGACCTCGTTGGCGATCTGGCGCGGGGAATTGTCGGGGCCGCCAGCAGGGAGGTCCACGGAGAACTGCCGCCAGCTCCCATCCTTGCGCAGGCCTCGCAGAACCTTGGAGACCAGGCGCGAAGCGGGCACGAGGGGGCCAGAGAAGGAGATCTCGAAGTGCTGGCCGACGGACTTGCTCTTGATGGTGTACTTGTCAGCAGCGGTGCCGATCTCGCTGAAGTCGCCAGCCGACTGCTTGACGCTCGACTCGGGAGCGGGGGCAATGGCGTAGATCAACACCAGCCTCGGGTCAACTTCGCAGTTGAAGCCAAAATCTAAAAATGTCCACGATCTTGGACTCGTTGCTGGCCACCAGCAACTCACCTTTGATTGAGGGCTTGGAAGTCGCGGCGCAGCTCGGAGACTGCAGCCTCATGCTCGTCGAGGGCCAGGGTGACCGAATGCTGCTGCAGGCGGAGGCTGAGCTTGTCGAGTTGCTGTTGGTACCGCTTGAACTGCATGGGGATGGTTTCCTGCGCCTTCGCAAGCAAGGGCTTCTCGACCAGTGTGGGGACATGCGCCAGGCCCTCGCGGACCACGTCGAATTTGGCGGGGGTTGGGGTGAGAAGATCGGCCACGGAGGCGGCCACTTTGGTCTCCAGCTCGCTGGTGGACCCAGAGAGTCTGTCAAACTTGGTGCCGATGGCGGCGGAAACCTCCGAGGTCTCCATGCGGCGAATTTCAGTGAGGAGGAGAAGAGGGAGAAAATTGATGTCAGGGAGGTGGATGGCGCAGGAGGAGGAGAAGGAAAAGGAAGGGAAGGAGGAGAAGGGGAGGAGGAGGAGGAGGAGGAGGAGGAGGAGGAGGAAGAAGGAGGAAGAGGAGGAGGAAGAAGAAGAAGAGGAGGGAGTGGCTCTCGTGGTTGTCAGTGTCCATGGCGCTGCCACCGCCAGGCCCAGGAAGCTGAGGGCCGGCGGCGAGCCAAGGGGGGAGGTGAGAAAAGGCGGGCCTTCTTGGAAGGCTCGGAAGTCCACCGGCCTTCTGGGAAGTTGTCTGAGCCTTCTCCGAAGATGCAGGAAACTTCTCAGAAGGCGCGGACGCTTCTGAGAAGTTCCGCCGCCTTCAGAGAAGACCTTCTCCCTCTCATTTCCCCCCCTCGCTCGCCGCCGAGAGGAGGAGCATGGCTAGCGGCTAGCACTCGCTGTGCCAGCCGCAGGGATGTCAGACGCGACAGGTGGCTCGCGCGAGGCGTGGCTTTTCTGTTGTCCTTCTTCTCCTTCTTGGGGGTCTTGGCGAGGTCTTGGCGACCTCGGGCATGGACGGGCCCCAAGCGGAGCCGAGGGAAGCGCGGCGCGCAGGAATAAAAGTGGGAGCCGACCCGGTTGAAGCAGCGATGGATCACCATCTTGGCCTTGAGCCAGAATGGCTACGAGGGAGAAGGGTGAGGAGGAGGAGGAGGAGGAAGACAAGCTAGGTGCGCTCACGTCATATCTGACGTCCTACCCCTCCTGCCCATCACTTATCATGGCGTAGATCTCATCTCTATTCGCACAGTCGGATATCGAGCAGGGCAATGATCCCGAGAGGGTACGCGAGGCATCGTAGAGCACGGCATAGCAGGGCGAAGAAGAGCACGGCAGAGCGTAGTATGTCATAGCATGGTGTGGCATTGCGTAGTGAAGAATTGCATCACAAAGCGGTGCAACGCAAATAATGGCATCGCACAGCGGCACATAACAGAACATGGCATAGCATGGCGCTGAAGATCAAAGCTTAGCATGGCATAGCATGGCGTGGCACTGCGTAGTCTAGTAATGCATATCCTAGCATTGCAGCTGAAGGCATTGCATCGCACAGCGGAACACAACATAGCATTGCATGGCATGCCGTGGCATGGCACTGGAAATAATGACGCCAGCGCTGCAGCGGGATCACGATTCGGAGCGAGCGGAAACGAAGAAGGGAGGCCAGCGCTGCAGCGGGAGCACGATTCGGAACGAACGGAAGCCCGGAAATGAGGGCAGCGCCTCAGCGGGAACAACATCATTTTGAAAAACAGCCCAAGCGAAAACCCAACTCCCGGGAATGTTTTGTGTTTGTTGTTTATTTCTGATATTTTTTACAAAAAAAATACGCGGAAGGGGGGCCGAACATCTTCCGGACGTCATCACGGGAGAGAGGAGAGTAGTACCCGGAGGAGGAGAAGGAGGAGGAGGACGACGAGGAGGAGCGAAGAGGGTTTATCCACGCCGTTTCGGAACGGTCATGCTTTGCAGACTGACCCCCCCCCCTTGGGTCGTGCGCCTCGAGCTCCCTTGGGAAATGCCTGACTCGACCCAGGCGGCTACGTCCCAAAGCGGAGTGCAAAAAGCCCTGCCGCGCCTGACGGTCCCGCTCCCTGCGCCGCCCCATCGGGTCCGCAGGGCCGCCTCGCCTGCCTGGACTTCTGCCCAGCGCGGCTCCCCTGCGCTCGTCCAGTGAGGCAGGGGCTTCCCGCACCGTGGAGCCCAGAGGCCCCCAGCCAGGTGGAGGCCGCAGTACAGCGGGCACATATGCCATGACCTCTCCCTGCACGGAATCTAGGAGCACATCCTTTGTTGACTTTGGGTTTCGCAAGGTGCCCCTGGGTTCTGCGGGCCCATCGAGAGGCAAACTATCATTGCTCGAGTCCGAGATCGACCCCAAAATCAATATTTCGTCGAACCTGCGAAAAATACATAGGATGCTCCGTAGATCTACGGTGCATTCGATATGCTCTTCTCGAAGAATCGACGCAGAAATCAACTTTGGGCACATCAGTTCTGCAGCCGACCTCCTGCTCCAATCGTGGGGCACCCGCTGGCAGGCCAATTTCTTATGCGGCGGGCTCACTGTGACAGCGGGCAGGCCCCAGCGGCCCCTTGCGCGGAGCAGGCCTCCTGCCAGCGCGTCCTCGTCCAGCGGGCGAGTGCAGGCGCCGCAGCGCGTCTGGGCGGCGCGGGGGCGCTCGCGATGGCCCGAGGAGCAGGCGCCTCTGGTGGCAGCGGCCGCGGAGTGCTGGGCCCGAGACCCTGGCCCTGGCCCCGCCCCCCCCCCCCTGGGGCGGCGAACGAGACGAGGCCCGAGCCCTCCCACACACCCGCGATCAAGGATGCGGCGGCTTGATGTCGTGCCGACCCCGGCGTTGGTGTCTGGCACCGCGTGCACTGCCCAGCCCTGAACGATCGGCGGCTCTCCGTGTGCCAGATCGTTCCACGTTGGCCGATTCTGGGCCACTGGCAGCGTTCAGCCTGAAACGCTCGCGGCGGGGTCGCTGCCGCGTCTACACGGCACGAACCTACCGTACGAGAAAGGGTGGATCCGAGATCTCTCCTGTCTCCCCTGTGGCATGGGTCCCCGTGGAGGTGGGAGTTCCTGCAGATCGGGCTCCCAATCAGAAACCGACAACCCTCGTAATCTATACTGCGTTCCAGGTGCGCATGCCTCCATATTCGCGACGATTGCAAACCAGCCTGCGAGCCGCGCGTAATCGATGAAGTCGAGCACGAAGACGCTACTCCCAGGAAAAGAAAGCAAGGGGAACAACGGACAGGGGCGGAACGGGCACGCAGCCACGTTGGTGATCCGCCACCGTGCCGCAGGCACCGAAAGGGATGTTCTCGGAGCAGTGAAGATCCTGAACTCAATTCCGCCACCGTGCCTTCATCACTAGGTGGAGCGCCCTCAGGCGCATGCGCGCGCACGACTCTGGTGGCTGGTAAGAGTCGTACGGCCTGGACCACTGGAGGCCCTCGGGGTGCGTCGCGTCGGCCTCCTGGACGGGGGCCCCGCCCAAACGATCCGAAGAGACGAGAAGGTTACTTGGGAAGTGTCCAAGAGCGCCCGAGAGAGCCCCGAGACGGCTCCGGAAAGCCCCAAGACTGCCCCCGATACCCACCAGACAACCCAAAAGGCCCCAAATAATGCCCAGGAGGGCCCCAAGAGGCCCTCGAAGAGGGCTCCGAGAAGTAAAAATCACTGATGTCCCTCCCTTACGTAGTTCAAGGGCTTTGGCGCGTCCTCGCCCCTTTTCGCATTTCCGACGCTCCAGGAAGGCCCAAGAGGCCTCCAGGATCACCCGTAGACGGCCTAAGAGGCCCCCGAAAGGGCCCCTGGCGGCCCAAGAGGGGCCGGCCCAACAAGTCGGAAGTGAAGTAGCCATCGCACGATCGGGAAAATTACAGAGTACGACGGCGGCGGCGGTGTCAGCGCGAGGGATCGATGTCGCCCCCCCGCACAATGCCGCAAATAGCGCGTCAGCGAGTGACCCGAGCAGATAGGGCGGGGCCGCCTTGAGCCAGGACAGCAGCAGGCCATGCAAGTGATAACGCAGCTCCCATCGGAGCCCCCCATCAAACTCGAGGGGAGGGAGGCGCTAGATGACCGCTCCTGCCCCGGTATGTACTCATCGCGACGTCACAATGTAGTAAAGCTGTGAAGGCCGCATGGAGGGGCTTCGCTTAAATAACCGACCCCTCTTTGTCAGTCCCGTCGTCTGGGGTGAAAGGGTCGTCGCGGGCGCGCAGAAGTGCATCGTCGCCCCGCGACAGCCCCGCGGATGGCCTCGAAAGGCCTCCATGAGGTCCCCAGAGGTGACTCAGTTAACCAGCGTGGCCCATGCTGATTCAACATACGCGTGCTGATTTACGCCATTTTTCCGACAACACCATTGGGCATCGCTCCTGGATGGGCTGGCCAGGCTACCTCTTGTTCGCGAGCGCAAGCGGAAGAGCCGCGCGCCGTCAATAAGATCCAGCGGACACCTAAAAAGCACCGGTCGGGAACGGGGCAAGGCGCGCGCAGCGAGCGAGAAGCCGAAAGAGGAACAGTGGCCAGGCCCGCTCGCCGCAGAGGGACCCTCAGCAAGCTTGTCCTCGACGAGCTTGCCCCCAGCGACCTTCATCTCGACGAACTTGTCCTCGCCAATCCTACATCAACCGGCAACGCGCCCGCCCGCTCAGTCGACGCGCCACGGAGCACAACCAGCGCGCGGGACCAGCGAAGGGCAACGGGCGCAAGCCGAGGTTGCACCGCGCTGTCAAGAGCACCTCCCGAGGGAGACCGCCGCAGGGAGAGGGCCCTCGCGTTTGCTGGCACCGGTCCCAATGTCATGGGGCAGCGCCGGGGGCCACGTAGACGCTGTGGACGCAGCTGCCAGCCGCAGGAGCTAAAAGCGGGCAAGCCCGCGCACCTCCTGCGGGGGGGCAGCCGCAGGAGGATGGACGGGCCAGACAGCTCGGAGAGGCAATCGATACATCTCCTGGCGCAAGCGCCCCGGTAGGGGGCGCCGAAGGCCAAGGCCGCGCTGCGGGCGGGGTCGCAGCTAACAGCCGCAGAAATAACGAAGTCAACGGGCGCGCCCGCGCGCCTCCTGCGGGGGGGCAGCCGCGGGAGGAGGACGGGCCAGACGAGCCAGGAAGTTCATTGCCTGCTGGCCCCAGCGCCCTGGGGGGGCGCCGAGGGCAACGGACGCACCGCGGGTGGCGGTCGTAGCTAAAGGCGCAGAGCGAGTAGCACAGCGGGCAAGCCCGCGCCCAGCCTGCGGGGGGGCAGCCGCAGGAGGGCGGGCGGGCCAGACAGCTCGGCCGACGATATACCTCACGGCGCCAGCACCCCCGGAGGGAGCGATGCGGGCCAGGCCGCGCCGTGGGTGGCGGTCGCAGCTACAGCCGCAGAGATAGCGAAAACGGCGGGCGGGCCCCTGCACCACCCGCGGGGGGCAGCCGCAGGAGGAAGACGGGCAAGACGGCCCGGGGAATTCATGGCCTGCTGGCCCCAGCCCCCCTCGGGGGGCGCCGAGGGCGCGGGCGCGGCGTGGGCGGCGGTCGCAGCTAAGAGCCGCAAAGCGAGTAGAGACAAGGGCGGGCCCGAGAACCTCCTGCGGGGTGACATCCACAGGGGGGGGGCGGGCAGGGCGGCGCGGGGGGCGGGGGCAAGGGGGCGGCCGGGGGGCGGGAGGGGGGAAGCAGAACAGCCGCGGAGTCGGTGAATGCTACGGGGGCAGCGGGTCGGGGACAGGGGGGGGGGGGCGCGGGGGCGGGGGCGGGGCCGGGGGGGGGCGGCTAACAGCCGCAGTCAGTGCGAGGAAAAGCGCGGTGGGCGGGGGCGAAGGGGGCGGGCGGGCAGAGAGCGGGGGGGGGGGTCGCAGACTAGCCGCCGCGCGCGCGAGGGGCCCTGGGGGCGGCAGCGGCAGCGCGGGCCGAGGGTGCCCCAGAGGGGACTCTAAGGCCCCGCACGAGCCGACAGCCCCAACTGGGCGCGCCCGAGGCGGCATTGGCGCACGAAGAGTGGTGCGCGGGAGGAGCCGACCAGCCAAGCTTGGCCGGGGAGGGATTGGGCTCCGTGAGGCACACTGTTGAACAGTGCGGGGCTCTCATGGCCAGGCGAGGGTCGTGGCGCGCGTTCGCCTGCGTGGCCTGGGCAGAGACTGAAGGGTGCGCCCAGGGTTGGCGCGAGCCCACGGCCCGTCGTGGTTCCACCGCCCTCGTCCAGCGGGGGTCGCTGTCCTCTCGGGGCCCCTTGCCTATGGCCTTGCCAAGGGTGCCCTTGGCCCTGGCCCGATCATTGAACCGAGTGCGGACTGCAGCCCAGTTGGCCCCCGGTCGAAGCGAGTCGCCCATCTTCATGGCATCACAACCGTGACTGGTCCATTCTTTGAAGAAGCGCACTCGGGGTCCTGCCGCGTGGGATCAGCGCAGATGTGGCCGGACCGCGCGGGGTTCTTGGTCGTCCACTGGTGCCATACTCCTTTTGAAATATTCACCGAGGTCCCTCTGAAGTCGCTTCACGGTCTCGGCTGGAGCCTCGCCAACGGGGCTGATCATGTCGATTCGCTCCAGTGGGGTTGTGTAGATTCCGGTCGGTGACCGCCTGTGCACGTTCGTAGAATGGCCAGGAGCCTGACCCGGGAGCGGGGAGGTCGTCGAGGATGGGGGGCGCGCGTGTGCGCGCGGGCCGACCCCAGCGGTCGCCGGCCTCCAAGCTGGGCCACCCTGTCCATCCTGTCCAGTGGCCGCTGCAGGGGCCACAGCGGCTGGCCTCGCGGCGGCGGCGTGGGCGGCGCCCGCCCCAGCCCTCGCCCGAGTCAAACTCATCGCGCGTCGCATTGGCTGCCCGGGCTTGCCGGGAATGCCCGGTGACGGTGGGGCTCGCACGCCGTGGGTGGCTATCCTCAGGAGAGCGAGAGCTGGCCCCACGGGCGCAGGAAGGGCTGGCGCCGCTCCGCACTGGCGTCGCGGGGGGGGGCGCATCGTTGCCCCAGTCGGGGGACTCGGGCGCGCGGGCGGCAAAGATGTGGAATTCTGCGGGTGGGTCTGCCGTCTCAGTGTACTTCTCGTTGAACCGCGTCCACCGATCGTTGCCACTGTGCTCCCTGATAGGGTCGGTCGACAGAACGCAGAGGCGTGTGGCCACGCGGGCGGCGGCGAGCCGCTTGCCTTGCCAGTGGAAGTCGCTGGGGAGGTGGTTTGGCGCAACCCTGTCGCCGTAGACCCTCCTCAGGATGAGGCGCAGTAGCCCAGCTGTCGGGAGCCTCGGAGCCTTTGACGTTTCTGGCCTGCTCTGCGGTGCATTCCCTCCACTGGTCGTCCAAGATTGGGTCCAGGTCGCGCAGGAAGTCGACCAGCCTGACCTCGATGGGCCTAGCGTTCAGGCGGTTCCGTTCAGCCTCCTCGGCAAGCCTCCAGGTGTTCAATGACGATGCACTCCAGTACGGGCCCCATGGGGGTCCACATGAGGTAAGAGGTTGTGCACTTCCACGGCCCGGCGCGTTGTGGGGGGTCGTCCGTGTTGGTCCGTGGCGTTTAGGACAAGGGCACCGCCGTTCTTGCTGAACGGGACAGGTTTGGTGGCAGAGGCTCGATTGGGTGCGAGCTCGATGGACAGCGACGGTTCGTCAGGCACTGGCGGGGCGGAGCGTGGCTTGGAGGTTGGGGAGCGCGGGTAGACCAGGTGGGTGTCACGGTCGAACATACCGTCAACGGCGCTGGGCTTGACATCCCATGCGTGAATGAGGCATTGGCGGCACATCCATGTGGCGTTCCAGCTGCGGTTGTTCCAAGCAACGGCACGGTCCTCTCACGCCGGGAGGCCACCCGCGTTTGTTTGCCGCGACTCCGCGTCAGCCTTCCATTCAAAACAGCCGAGCGCAAGCGTTCCTGCCTGCCAAGAAGGGGGGGAGTCCCGGGTGGGCACCCGTCGCACGTGGCAGCGTAGCGCTTGGATTCAGCTGCCGTGCACCCAAACCTGTCATCCTATAGCCTCGTGGACAGTAAGGTGGTGTTGGCGTTCTTTGGGACATGGAGGCCTGAGGGCTCCAGCAGGTAGTCCTCGACGGCGCCAGGGGCCGCAGAGTGGGGCAGCGCCGCGTACGTATGCTGCGAGGCGGTCAGGGGTAGGGTATCCACGGGATGGGGCCTGGAGGGGCTCCTGGCGAGTGCAACGGCCTGTACCTTCTCGTGGAGGGAATGGTCTGGGGACAGTTGGTGGCCCTCCTTCTCGGCCACGTGTCCAGGACTGACCGCACAGCCATGTGCAGCCCAACCCGTTGGCGTGCGCCTGCAAGCGGTTTTGGGCCAGATACGAGCGGATATTGTCGTGGAGCCAAGTGCCGTCCATGTGCTTGAGGTTGGGCTTGTAGCAGTAGTCGCACTTGTACCTGGCCGTTTTCCGGTCGGCGCTGAAGCGGGTGTCGCCAGGGGCCAGGTAGCAGGGAGTCTTGGTCACGCTGGGGATTGGAGCGCGCGGTAGCGCCCTGTCCAGGGGGGTGAGCCCGAACGAGAAGCCCCCGCTGAGGAAGGACATCTCTGCGGGCCCCAAGCCGTTGTCGCTGCCTGTGAGGTCCCGGTGCAGGAGGCAGATGCTGCATTCCGACCGCGAGAGGATGCCGATGTTAGCCAGCTTCACAATCTCCTCCAGGACCAGCATTGGGGCCTTCAGCTTGAAGGGGGAATCCCTCCATCTCAGCGTAGGTAGTGAGGCAATGGGCGTCCTTAGCGGTGAGGTGGTAGTGGGCACTGGCTGGTGGGGACACGCGGAGCGTCAAGACTTGAAAGGGGTACACAAAGACCGCCCTTATTGTGTGCGTCAATGTTGGGGTTGTCTGCATCATGTCTTACACGCACATACTATGTGTCATGCGTGCTTTGAGATCCCCCGTCCCCACGCCCCGACGATTGCCTGGCGTGGCATGGTCTCTTTGATGCTCTTTGCCACCCTATTTCCCCACGTCGAGTCCGCTCGCTTTGGCGAAGGAGTTCTGACGGTAAAAGCTGCGCGGGCGGGCACCGAGCATAACGATGGCCCTGGGCGGGTGGCGGAGAGGGAAGGAAGATAGCCCTGGGGACGAGGGAGGGGGGTCAGGAAGATGAGCGGCTCCAGGGAGGATCGATGATTCTTGCATGCGGCTTTTACGTGTCAAGTTACCATGATTCCATGAGGCCAGAGGCTAGAAGCTGCTGACAGCCAGGCAAGGAGAATCCTGCGTGACAGCTGAACATGGCAGATGTGAGTCCTGAAAGCCGAGGCGGTGGCCAATCAGGGCTGATCTCTAATCGGAAGAGCAATACTTGCGATACAGCAATATCCAGGCGCGATTCCGCGCCAGCCTATTGCTGTGTCGTCATCATCATCATCATCATCATCATCATCATCATCATCATCATCATCATCATCATCATCATCATCATCACCTGCATTCTCATCATCAGCATCATCAGAATCATCATCAGACGCAGCATCGTCATCATCATCAGTATCAGCATCAGCATGAGCATCAGCATCAGCATCAGCATCATCACCACCATCATCATCATCGTCATCATCATCATCATCATCATCATCATCATCATCATCATCATCATCATCATCATCATCATCATCATCATTATCGTCATCATCATCATCATCATCATCATCATCGCCATCATCATCAGCAGCATCATCAGCACCATCAGCATCATCACCACCACCACCATCATCGTCATCAGCATCAGCATCGTCACCATCATTAGCATCACCAGCATCAGCATCATCAACAAAATCACCACCAGCATCATCATCAGCATGAGCATGAGCATGATCATTATAAAAAGCATATTTAGCATCATTAGCATCATCACCATCAGCATCATCATCAGCATCACTATCGTCATCATCACCATCAAAATCAGCATCATCAGCATCATCATCAGCGTCATCAGCATAACCATCATCATCCCCATCACCATCACCATCCTCACCAGCATCACCATCATCCGCATCACCATCATCACCACAACCACCACCATCATAACCATCATCATCGCCGTCGTCATCATCATCACCATAACCATCATTATCATCATACGCACTGGTGCCATTATAAAGTATCCTGACCGCCGTCACTCATACCCTCCTCGCGATCATCAGCCTCACAACGATCGCCATCTTCACCATCTGTCTTCTCATCATCCGCATCCTCACCCCCCTCCCCCGTGCAGGGGTGGATTGGTATGGTTTTTGAATGCCCCATCATTCTCCTCCTCCTCCTCTTCCCTGTCATCATCCCCATCCTGCCCAACATCCCCCTCCTGATCCAGATATTCCTGACCGTCATTTTCACATCCTGTCCCCGCCTGATCACCGCATCCTCCGCCTGATCCTCATCCTCCGGAGCCTCGTCGTCGTCGTCGCCGCCGTACTCGTCGTCGTCGCCATCCGAGTCGTCAGCACTATCACCCTCGCCATCTCCCTCCTCCCCCATCTCCCCCCTCCGTTTCCTTTCTCCCTCAACCATCCCCCGCCCCTCCCCCGAGATATCACTAGCATCCTCACTCGCCTCCTCCTCCTCCTTCTCCTCCTCGTCGGAAGCTGCACATGTCCTTTCCTGGGGGTCGGCGGAACTGCGAACACCGCGCGTATATAGATATGAAAACCCAAACACCGGGAGGGGAGGCTTGAAGTCCGTCCTCAGTAGGAGTAGAATGCACGTTCCTTGAACTCGAAATCTGTAGGGTGCAAGATGTTGCGGTGCAAACTACCTGGTGTGATCTATGGAATGCAAGCTACGCGGTACAGCACATGGGGTGCAGTCTACGCGGTGCAGGCCGTGTACGGGTGGGCGCCGCGCGCAAGCCCAGAAAAGCCAGAGCGAGCCCATGCGGGCACCGAGCGAAAGCCGGGACGGCGGACACGAGGCGGGCAGCGAGCGAAGGCCCAGAAGGGCTGACCGATTCCTCACGGACTGGAGAAGAACACCACCAGTGCAGGCACTGCCGGGGGAGAATCGCAAACGTTCGGCACTCTCGTACCAGATCGTGGACTTCGCGGATTCTTCTAGGGAAACCATGGGAGCCTCCCATACCATCTTGTTGGCTCTTGCGATTCGACACTGATCAACGCCCATCGACGCTAAATCGATGCTACATGCACGCAACTCGACGCCAATGCTAATCGACCCCGAATCGGCGCTATCTGAGCGACTACCAGACGCCCGTCGACGCTGAAGGTCTCCCGGGGGTCCACATCCACCTGTCTGGATCTCGAGCGGCGGGCCAGGACCCAAGCTTCGGCGGTCCCCCGTCCGATTCCCGCGGCCACTCTCGGCCACACCTCTCGAGGGCAGAAAGCAATGTCCACTGTCCAGTCTCTCGCAACCGCCTCGAGCCCGCCTAGGGCCCCATCAGACCACGGCAGGTTCGTGTCGCGTCGACCCCAATTTTGGATCCTGAAACACCGCGGGGGTCGTTCAACCTTGAACGATCGGCCGTTTACAAAACGTCAGATCGATCAACATCGACCGTTTCTGGGTCGCCGGCGGCGTTCAACGCTGAAAGCCGGCGGCGGGGTCGCCGCCGGTCGACACGACGCGAACCAATCGCAATCTGAACATTATTCTGGGCCTCGAACCTGAATCGCCCTGCCAGGCCCTGCCACCACTTGGGACTAGGAAGAGTCGTCTCGGGGCTAGGAGAGGTAGATCCTCGCGCACACTGCGACACTCGCGCGCGGAGCTTGACGATGCCCATGCGAAGGTGGCGCACAGCGCGAGGTCCCGCCTTCTTCGTCGCGCCGTTCCCGAGGAGCAAATTGGCCTGCTCCGAATCGTCCTGACGCAACGCGAAGCTCACGCCACACACGCAGCAGCAAGGGCTCTGGGTGCGAGTCGCATATCAGAGTGTTCCGAACATGGCACACTTTATGCATGTGTCTTGGAAGCTTAGGATGCTGCTGATAGCTAAGAGCAGGCACATCACCAAAATAAGCGCCTGGTGGTCACGAGGTGGTTCGCGAGCACGAGATATCTGTGATGCTTTGCCTGGCCAATTTCTGACATATAAAATTCCGCTGCGCCCGCCTAGCCGCTAGCCCTGACACCTTTGACCAATGAATTGCTGTGGACCTTTACGGCTCCATCCGCGCACGGTTATCTGAGATGGGCACATCCTCCTTCTCTCTCTCTCTCTCTCGTTCTCCCCCTCTTTTTATATACATTGATGTACATAGAAGCACACCTGAATTCTCTTACACACCTAAATATAAATAGATCGATGTGCATGTGGTAATCGTAGGGCTGCACCTTCAAGCACGACCCCGTACCATGGCGCGCATCATGACCGTAAAGCTGAGCGCGCGTCATGGCCTGAAGCAAGGCCGCAAACTCCTCAATTGGCTTGTCTGCCTGTATTTCGATCCAGGTTACAGCACACCTCGCGGGCCATGAACGCGTGGTGTTGGGACAAGCCTCGACTTTTGTGGTCCGTCGTCTGTCTGTCCTTGCGAAGCTTGCTCCTTGCTAATCCTGCTTCTCGCGTCGTAGAGCTGGCATCCTCGGAACATGGCCCGAGCAACCCCTCGTCCCCGCTGGTAGATGTGTGGCACACAAGCCCAGCTTGGTGAACTGTCGCGATGTGCTTGACAAAACGTGCTACCTAGACTGGGCCAGGTCGGACTCGCTGCCCCTGGCAACCTTCCGCTCATGGGTTGCCTCCACCCGAGGATGCACCCACTTCAAGCGCCTACCGTTTCCACCAAGAGCCTGGAATTCGGGACGCGTAAGATCGGCAACAAAAGCATTTGCGCGGCCGCTTGTGTCCACCCCGCTTGCCTGCGCAATGCTGCCAAGACTGGGCTGAGGGAAAAAACGGAAAGCCTGCCATGGCAAGTGGGCCCTGCGAGAAAAGGAAGGCCGGAATCGCACCGCCAAGGACCTCGTAACGGACAGGAGTCACAGGAGAGGAGGCGCACATGGGGCATTGAGTCGCTGATTGGCACCGCCACACCAAAAAACACGACGAACCTGCGCGCACCTTGCCTGCCATTCAACCCCTTGCGCGTGAGAGACAACCTATGGACCCTATTCCAATTGCAACCAGCTCGAGTGGAATCCCGTCAGAACTGGAACCAGCTGTTGAAATCCGATTTGAGCTGGAACCAACTCTCGAGAAATCCTGATAGACCTGGAACCAGCTTCGGATGAATCCCAATAGAGCCTAAACCAACTGTATCAGAAACCTACTAGAGGCTGGGACCCGCCGCATATGAATCCGATTTGAGCTGGAACCAGCTCTACCTGGTAGAGCTGGAAACAACTTTAAATACAGTGGATTTGAGCTGGAACCAGCTCTGTAGTTTTACTAGTGGAGCCAGAACAACCTCTCTTTGTAGGACTCCTGTTAGGGCTGCAACCAGCTCTGTAATCATACCAGAGCTGCAATATCACCTCTATACAGGGGTCCGATTAAGCTGGAACCAGCTCTGTAGGAGTCGTTGAAAAAGCTGGAACCTGCTCACAGGAATCCGATGAGAGCTGCAATTCTCTATCGGAGTCCTAATAGGACTGGAACCAGTTCTATGGGAATCCGATTAGAGCTGGAACCAGCTCTATGGGAGTCTGATTGCTGGAGCCAGCTCCGTAGGAATCCCTGCGAAATTTTCACGGCTGCCTGAGCGCGCCCCTGAGGAATCCTGGCAAACCCCTAAAAGAATTCCTTCGAAATCTTTTAGGCATCGTCACGGTTCCCCTGTGACCAGACATTCTCACACACCCACGAGGAATCCTCGCAAATCCCTAGGGAACCCTTACGCATTCCCCCGGCATCCCCACGAATCCCTGCAAGTGCCTCACGAATCCCTATAGCATTCTTGAAACGTCCTTCTGGTATCATTCAGGACTCCAATTAATTCCTTGCAGAATTCACCTGGAATCCCTGGGGCATCCCTCAGGAAGCCTCCAGGAATACTTTAGGATTTCTCAAGAACCACTCGTAGTTTAGCTCCAGAATCTGCAAGCTCAGGAATCCTCAAGAACCCCCGAGGGTTCCATCAGGAATCTGAACGAATCCATGGCGGATTCGTCTGGAATCCTCCAGGAATCGTTCGGGCAGCCCTCGGGAATCTCTCAGGAAGTCTGGAGGAATCCACAACAACCCTGTGGAATCCTGAGGAACCCAGGAAAATCATGAGGACCCTGAAGGACCTTCAGGGGTCCTGGGGAGCCGTGAGGAGTCCTGCAGATTCCAAAGGATCATTGAAAAGCCGAAGGAGTCCAAAGCACCTCCGGAGAATCATGAAGAATCCCGGGGAATCCTCCGGAGGAGTCCTGGGGATTCCTTCGCGGGTCCTGAAGATTCCCTCGAGATCCCGCCAGAAAGCGATCAGGGTTCCTCATGGAATTCGTCATGCTCCTCTAACAGTCCGCAGGGTCAACTCAAGGCCCCGAGTGGGAACCTCCAGCAACCCAGCAACACCCCCTGAGGGGCCTTCGCCCCCCCCCGCCCCCCCGGGGAAGGCCGAAGTTGCTGGGTTGCTGCGATAGCGCGATTCCAAAGTAAATCGTGGGCGTGATTCCTGAGTGTTGGGGGCGCGGCGCTTCCATAGGTTGACTGGAGGCACCGCGCGAGAGCGCGATTCCTGGGCAGATTGCAAGGAACTTCTCGCGCGAGAGCGCGCCTTCGAGTACACCCTGGGGGCTGCAGCTCGGAAGGCCGGCCGCCCAGTCTCACGCGCAACGCTCTCCTTCGGCCAGCGCGACGGCGGGTGACCCCCGAGGCGCGGGGCGGCTCCTGGCCGGGGAGCCCCAGGCCGCCACCCGCCGCCTCGGCCGCCCTGCGCTCGCGCAGCCTGGCGATCGCCTGCGCGGGCCGCCCCCCGGGCTCGGGCAGAGTCGAACACACACAGACACACAAACGCACGCACGCACGCGCACGCGCACGCGCACGCGCACGCGCACGCACGCGCACACGCGCACACACACACGCACACACACACACACACACACACACACACACACACACACACACGCACGCACGCACACACACACACACACACACACACACACACACACACACGCACACGCACGCACGCACGCACGCACGCACACACACACACACACACACAAGCACACACACACACACGCACACACACACACCCGTCGGTCGGAAGAAGTGGGTAACAACATGAAGTAGGAGGGCATTGGAAGTAGGTCGGGTTTCCACCCGCCCCCTGAAAAAAGGTGAAACCACTCGACCATTGAAGTAGGAAGGCACCTAAAGAAGATTGGGAGCCGAAGATCCACAAGTACATATTTTCAACGACCCACGGGCACGGCGTGCATGGGCGATCTCAACCGCCATTCTGAGGGCGACGCGCTTCGGCCCCTGGGTCCTCCCGGGAGTAGGGGATCGACGACTGAGTTGATTTACCCCAGAATTGATTCTCGCAACGAATCCCCCCAAACATGCGTCGAACGTTCCGTCGGTCTGCGAACACTATCTCTGTGTATATATATATATATATGCTAGAACCACGCGCGCGCTTCGTGCGCGCTTAGGTTCTAGCACCCCCCAGACCTTGACAAGCTCACAGATGCACGCGTGCACGTAAACACAAATTGCTTGCACATGAAGTGAAGAGGTAGCAATCGCGCGGACCGAACAGAGACGGAATTCTGACAAGTATACACACAGACGCATGCAATGCGAATCCATATGACATGATCGTGGAAATGTCATGCAGTGGCTATGCAACGTATTGCAACTCAACGCAAACTACTGCAAGGATAAATGAAGCACAAATGACATGCAACACAACGCTCTGCACATCAAAAATTTGGAGCGGCCATTGGGATGTCGGCTCGTGCGATCGTTGATCCATCTTGTGCCACTCTGGGGCTTCTCTAAACGCTCGTTGTTCGGGTGTTGCGCGGCGTCGGCTGGAACTTCTCTTGGGGCCCTATCGTGGCTGAGTCGGGGCTGTCCTGGGGTGCGTGGGGGTTCAATTGGAGCCCCAGAAAGCTTGTTCCGGGGAAGGTGTGGAGACCTCCAGGGGGCGATGGATCGTTTTGTGCACACCGTGCGACATTTATGCAGCTGGCTTTGCATGCCTGAAGACGGCACGGTGGCCACGTAGACCTCTTACAAAATCAATTTCCTTCCGCGGGCTTCAGACGAGGTTCCGCTGGCTTCCGCCAGCCAGATAGCCCTCGATTTACATCCGCCAGCTTCCGCGGGCCTTCGGCCAGCCTCCGCGGTGACCAAGAAGACGACCTCTGAATTCCTTTAAAACGAAAGCCTTTTTGAAACACTCTACACGGACATGGGCGCCGAGGAAGGGCCTTTGGGCGTCGAACCACCGAAACGCGTGGCACCAAACTCGAGAATCCATATAGAGCTCGATACTGCCCTTTTGGCATCCACCCTATCCCGCCACCGCGTTTGGGTTGTGATGCAGAGGTCTCTTGGATGCCGGTTTTTTTGGGGTGTGACAACAAGTGAAAACAAGCAGTACCACGACGCGTACACATACTAGCAGTGCGAAAATGGGTGGACAATCGCGCACTCGCGCTTATGGAAGAATCGGCAACAGCCGAGCTGAAGGATACTGGATGGTTCAAACATGCGACCATCCAGGCAGTCCATACCCCTTGGGGGAACCATTAGGTGAAACAAGGTGAAACAGCATGAAAAGAACATGAGTGGCATAGGGGGGTCCCCCTTGCACGAGCGTAGCGAAGCTACGCTGAGCGAAGTCCGATTAGGCATTGCGCGGACTAACTCAAGCCAGCTCACACAAGGTCTCTTGGATGCCTGTTGGGGTTTCTTGGGAAGCCTCTAGAGAGCCTGCTGGAGGCAGTTTTGAAACATATTGGGGGTCGTTTGGGGGCTTCTTTTGGGCATCGTGGAGCCTGAAGGCGATATCGGGGGTCTCCTTGGGGCGGATGGCTCGAAATCTCAATTCGAGTTCTCTCTCTTTCTCTCTCGTTCTCTCTCTCTCTCTCTCTCTCTTTTCTCTCTCTCTCTCTCTCTCTCTCTCTCTCTCTCTCTCGTGGGACCCTCTACTGTTGAGGCTCCCGCGGGGCCCTATTGGGCACCTCTTGAACCGTCTTGAAGCCCTCTGGGGCAATCTTCACGGCCCGAACCCAATCTTCAGACCAGCTGGGGCGGTCTCGGGCCGCTCTCGGGAAACCTCCAAGCGCTCTTGGAGCTGTCCTGGGGGTTTCTGAGGTGGCTCTGTAGGGTGTTTTGACGCCTTCCAGCAGCCTCGGAGGCCCATCGGCAGTGAAAAGGCGACGTGCTACGAACGTATTGCTTGAGGACAGATTTTGAGCAATTTGGAAACTCGGAGCCCTCTTGGGAGCGCCTTCACCCTGTACCTGGAGGCCTCTGGGAGCGTCTGTGGGCCGTTGTGGAAGCGTCTTGGGGTGTCTGGGGTCCGTATTGGGGATATTGGACCATCTGGGCAGCCTCGAGGGCCGTCGGAAGTCCATCCGGGGCCGTCTTGGGGTGGTATTGAGAAGCAAATGAGCATTCTTGCAGCCGTCTTGGGAACCTCTTGGACCAGCTTGGGACGGTCTTGGGGGCGTCTTGGGCCGTCTTGGAGCGTCGCGACGACAAAAAATTGAGGAAGCCAAAAGCCTGTTAAAGCCTGAAGGCAAGCAATGATTTTGGCTGTTTGGGTCCCTCTTGGGAATGCTCTTGGGGCTGTCTTGGGACGTCTTGGACGCAACTTGGGCCATCCGGGAACCATCTTGGGCGTCTTGGAGCGGTCGTAGGCGCGTCGAGGCACGCTTTGACCGTCTTCGACGCCTCTTGGGCCGTGCTTGCAAGCTCTTGGGCGGTCTTAGGCGCCTACTGGGTTGTTGTTAAGCCCTCTTGTGCCGTTTTGGGGCGCTCTTGGGGGCCTCTTGGGCGATCTTGGGACGGTCTTGAGGACTTCGTGGTCTGTCTTGGCGGGTCGGCACAACGAAGAAACAAGAAAACCAAAAACCTGCAAACAACCAACGGAATTCAATGATTTCGGCCGCTTGCAGCCGTCTTGGGAATGCTCTTGGGGCTCTCTTGGGACGTCTTGGAGGACGCAACTTGGGCCATCCGGGAACCATCTTGGGCGTCTTGGAACGATCTTAGGCGCGTCGAGGCACGCTTTGACCGTCTTCGGCGCCTCTTGGGCCGTGTTTGCAAGCTCCTGGGCGGTCTTAGGCGCCTACTGGGTTGTTTTTTAGACCCTCTTGGGCCGTCTTGGGGCGCTCTTGGGGGCCTCTTGGGCGATCTTGGGACGGTCTTCAGGACTTCGTGGGCTGTCTTGGAGGGTCGGGACGACGACAAAAACAAGAAAACCAAAAACCTGCAAAACACCAACGGAATCCCATGATTTCGGCCTCTTGCAGTCTTCTTGGGAATGCTCTTGGGGCTGTCTTGGGACGTCTTGGAGGCCGCTTGGGCCATCTGGGAGCCATCTTGGCGTCTTGGAGCGGTCGTAGGCGCGTCGAGGCACGCTTTGACTGTCTTCGGCGCCTCTTGGGCCGTGTTTGCAAGCTCTTGGGCGGTCTTAGACGCCTATCGGGTTGTTTTTAGGCCCTCTTGGGCCGTCTTGGGGCGCTTTGGGGGGCCTCTTGGGCGATCTTGGGACGGTCTTGGGGACTTCGTGGGCTGTCTTGGAGGGTCGGGATGACGAAAAACCAAGAAAGCCAAAAACATGCAAACAACCAACGGAATCCCATGATTTCGGCCTCTTGCAGCCCTCTTGGGAATGCTCTTGGGGCTCTCTTGGGACATCTTGGAGGCCTCTTGGGCCGTCTGGGAGCCATCTTGGGCGTCTTGGATCGATCGTGAGCGTCTCGAGGCACGCTTGGACCGTCTTCGGCGCCTCTTGGGCCGGACAAGGGCGCTCCCGGAGGCCCGATCCCGCCATGGGGGGTTGCGGTCCCGGCCAGGGAGCCCCCAGCCCTGTAGCCCGGTATATATATATATATATATATATATATATATATATATACACACACATACATACATACACACACCCCAAAAGGGGGCACGATCGAAGACGAAGAAGGCGTGCGTCGAGGGTTTGGGGTGTAAATTTTGAAGGACACGCGGGCAGCGAAGAGCACACAGTCTTATAATGATTGTTGTGATTGTTGTTGCTGCTGCTGTTGTTGCTGCTGTTGTTGTTGTTGTTGTCGCTGTTGTTGCTGTTGTTCGTTGCTGTTGTTGTCGTTGTCGTTGTTATTGCTTGTTGTTGTTATCGTCGTCGTCGTCACCGTCGTCACAATCGACGATCACGTGATCGTCGTCTTCGCCACTGTGCTGCAACCCCCAGGACGGACGGACGCGCTCCGAGGGTCCACGCACGCAGAGAAGCCGGTGCCTTTCTGCGGCCCTGGCTCAAGGGAAAAGAGGTGGAGGGGAAGGTGAAAAGAGGATCGGCGAATGATGATCGGAGGAGGACGCTCGGAACAGGATCGGAGGAGTATCTGAGGAGGGCCGGGGGAGGACGACCCGAAGAGGATGATAGGCCCCATGAAGCCCCAGGAGGACGAAATATATCCCAGGAGGCCCCAGGACTGGAGGTCCCAGGGGTCCAAAATAAATCCCAGGAGGCCCCGCGGTGTTGACCAGGGCAACGGAAGACGCAACGACGATGGCGATGACGGCGACGGCGACGAATACGTCGGCGACGACGCCGCTGTGTCCCAGTCGCTACCGCTCCAATGCAGGACATCATGTTCCCGGACCGCTCTGGGAACATGATCGGGGGGATCTCTCTGGCGTAGTGCTGGGCCGTATCGAGGCTCTCTCCATGACGGTTTGGGCCGTATCGGAGCCGTCTTGCGGGCCCCGTCCGTCTGTCCTACTGCTCCTCTCCAAACCCTCGTTCCCTAACCTCCCGATCATGTTCCCGGACCCCCGTCCCTTCCCCCCAGAGCACCGCAGCAGTAGGAAAGCGTTCCGAAACGGTGAGAAATCATGTTCCCGGAAAGCGTTCAAGAATATGAATCGTACGTCGTCCAAGGCGCCTCGGAAGGCGCAAAATACTCCTCCAAGGCGCGGAATCATGTTCCCGGACCGCCTTCCGGGAACATGATGGGGACGACCTCCTGAGGGCCTCCAGTGGGCCTCTTGGGGGCCTCTCGGGGGCCTGTTGGGCTCTCCTGGAGGCGTCTTGGGGCGCGCTCAGGGCCATTTTTGGGCATCTTGGGGGCCTCTTGGGGGCCTCCTGGGAGGCTCTTGGGGCCTCTTTGGGGCCTCGGGGCCCTCTTGGGGCCCGCTGGGCTCGCTCAGGCAGTCTTGAAGCCCTGTCGGGGCTCTCCTGGAACCGTCTTGGGCGGTTCCTGGGCCATCTTGGGGCTCTCCTGGGCCGTCTTGGGACGATTTTGGGGGTCTCTTGGGCCGTCTTGGGCGGTCTTGGGGGCCTCTTCGGCCGTCTTGGAGCGGTTTTGGGAGACTCTTGGACGGTCTTGGAGCGTCGGAACCCCGAAAAAGCGAGAAGGCCAAAAACCTCGAACAAAAAGAATAAAAATCAACGATTTTGGCTTGTCGGCGATCTCTTGGGAGGCCTCTTGGGATGCCTTCGGGGCCTCATGGAGCTCTCTTGGAACGTCTTCGGGCCTTCCTGACCATTCCTGAGGCTATCTATGCGCGTCTTGGAGCGCTCGCGGGCCGTCTTGGGCGGTCTCGAACTGTTCCTGGCGGTCCCAGGGGCCCTCCGGGACGCTTCGGACGCTCCCGGGGGCGCCCTGCACCCCCCATGGAGATTACTGGCAGCGCCCCGGGCCGCCCCCGGGCCCTACTCCGAAATATATATACATATATATATATATATATATATATATATATATATACTAGAACCACGCGCGCGCTTCGCGCGCGCTTAGGTTCTGTCGAGTCACAGACCCAGGAATCGTTGTGAGAAGAAATTGGTGACGCGAAGCGTCGTGGGGGCGTCCTTGGACGTCTGGGGTCTCCTGGGGCCTCTTGAGGGGCCTCCTGGGGGCCTCCTGGCGGCCTCTTGGGGCGGAAGGCTCGAGCTTGCGGTTCGTGGTCCCCCTCTGGGCCCCCTCTTGGGCCCGTCTTGGGGCCCTCTTGGGCCATCTTGGGCGCGGAAAGCCCAAAAGACAACTTTGTTGAACATTTACGTTTTACGAAAGGAATGGGCCAACTTTTGCGTCTGGGGGCCCTCTTGGGACGCATGTTGGAGGCTTCTTGGGGCGTCTTGGGGGCGTCCTTGGACGTCTGGGGTCTCCTGGGGCCTCTTGAGGGGCCTCCTGGGGGCCTCCTGGCGGCCTCTTGGGGCGGAAGGCTCGAGCTTGCGGTTCGTGGTCCCCCTCTGGGCCCCCTCTTGGGCCCGTCTTGGGGCCCTCTTGGGCCATCTTGGGCGCCTCTTGGGCCGTCTTGGGGCCCTCTTGGGCTGTCCTGGGGCCCTCTTGGAAGCTTCTTGGGCCGTCTTGGGGCGGTCTTGGGCGCCTCTTGGGCCGTCCTGTAACGTCGGAAAGCCCAAAAGACAACTTTGTTGAAAATGTACGTTTTACGAAAGGAATGGGCCAACTTTTGCGTCTAGGGGCCCTCTTGGGCCGCATGTTGGAGGCTTCTTGGGGCCTCTTGGGGGCGTCCTTGGACGTCTGGGGTCTCCTGGGGCCTCTTGAGGGGCCTCCTGGGGGCCTCCTGGCGGCCTCTTGGGGCGGAAGGCTCGAGCTTGCGGTTCGTGGTCCCCCTCTGGGCCCCCTCTTGGGCCCGTCTTGGGGCCCTCTTGGGCCATCTTGGGCGCCTCTTGGGCCGTCTTGGGGCCCTCTTGGGCTGTCCTGGGGCCCTCTTGGAAGCTTCTTGGGCCGTCTTGGGGCGGTCTTGGGCGCCTCTTGGGCCGTCCTGTAACGTCGGAAAGCCCAAAAGACAACTTTGTTGAAAATGTACGTTTTACGAAGGGAATGGGCCAACTTTTGCGTCTAGGGGCCCTCTTGGGACGCATGTTGGAGGCTTCTTGGGGCCTCTTGGGGGCGTCCTTGGACGTCTGGGGTCTCCTGGGGCCTCTTGAGGGGCCTCCTGGGGGCCTCCTGGCGGCCTCTTGGGGCGGAAGGCTCGAGCTTGCGGTTCGTGGTCCCCCTCTGGGCCCCCTCTTGGGCCCGTCTTGGGGCCCTCTTGGGCCATCTTGGGCGCCTCTTGGGCCGTCTTGGGGCCCTCTTGGGCTGTCCTGGGGCCCTCTGGGAAGCTTCTTGGGCCGTCTTGGGGCGGTCTTGGGCGCCTCTTGGGCCGTCCTGTAACGTCGGAAAGCCCAAAAGACAACTTTGTTGAAAATGTACGTTTTACGAAGGGAATGGGCAAATTTTTGCGTCTAGGGGCCCTCTTGGGACGCATGTTGGAGGCTTCTTGGGGCCTCTTGGGGGCGTCCTTGGACGTCTGGAGGCCATCTTCAGCATCTCGGAGCCCTCTTGGAGGCCTCTTGGAAGTTTCTTGGGCCGTCTTGGGCGCTTCTTGGGCCGTCTTGTCTGACCGGGGAGGCCTCCGGCAAGCCCCGACGAGCCTCCGGGCCCCCCGCGGTGCACATTTGTGGTCAAGGTCCCGGCCCCGGGCCCCCGGACCCGGTGCGCCGTTATATGTATATATCGTCGCTTTGACGAAATAATTAATTCGGGCGTGAATCGATTATGCAGTCGATTCCCTACTCGCCTCCTGGGGGGGGGCCCAAATAAGCTACAGTACTCCAGCGCGCGCGTGCCGGGTAGCATGCAGGAAAGGCAACAAGAGGTCAAACTTGCGGAGGTGATCAAAGAATCCTCGGAACCTGGACCTCCTGACACCGGATCGTGGCCACGCTTTGGATGTCGGCGCGGGCACCTGTCCACCCGTCCTCGCTGGCTGGCCGTCACCGACGAAGAGGCAACGGACTGGCCCTGTTCCCCCTGGACTTAGTTCAGGGGAGGAGTGAGAAGGGACGAGGAAGGAGGGAGGGGGGGGCGGGGGGAGGAGAGGAGGAAGAGGGGAGGAAGGGGGAGGGGGGGGGAAGGAGGCAGGAGGGGAAATGGAGAGAGGGATGGAGGCAGAAAGGTGGCGACCCCGCAACTTTGCACGACCCCCTGCCAATCCCCCAACACCCCCTTCTGACTGCCTTGGAGACTACCCCTGGGCTTCAAGCCCGGGCCTGCGCTGCCCTGCCTCGCCCCGAGAGCGCCCCTCTTGGAGGCACACCTCTGGAACCCCCCCTCCTGACACAGACATGTCGACAGGCGAAACAGAAGCCCGGCATCCCCTCGTCCTCTCTCCCTTCATTCATGGGGCGAGCGCCGCGCCGAGAGGACCGGCAGCCAGCCTCGCGGTCCAGCCCCCGGCCTGGGCGGTACGCCATGGCTTGGGCGCGGATGCGCGGGGGCGACAGGAACTGAAGGAGCGGCCAATTCACGAAAACACGTGGCGGGTTCTGGAACCGTGGGCCCCAAAATGGTGTAATCCTCTGGGGGGCGTTTTTTTCTTCCGCCAGCTTCCGCCAGCGCAGCCGCCCCCGTTTTTCTTCCGCGGGCTTCCGCCGCCCTTCGCCGAGGACGAGATAGTAACACCTTCGACTCTCGAAGGCGAGGCTCTTTTCTGGAATCTGCTTGTTTTCTTGATGTTGTCGGTAATCGAAAAGGCAGCTACGCGTCAGGAATCAAAGCACCCAGGTTCCACTGATGGGGGGGGCACCCCCACACATGAAATCAAAACAATGGCTCGATGTCTGGGTCTGTGTATATGTGCCCCATGAACACACACCCGCGAAGGGTCGAGACGTGAGACCTGCGTGCGTCAAGCTCCCCAAAACCTCGGCGCCCGCCGATGCAACAACAGTGCCAAATTGCAATGCGGTTTGGCGACATTGACATTGCATGTTGTAGGCGTGCTGAGGGGTACGCCTGTCGCCCCAAAACCTCGGCGCCCGCGGGTGTAACAACAGTCCCAAACTGCAATGTATGTTTGCGACATTGACATTGCATGTCGTAGGTGTGTTGAGGGGTACGCCTGTCGCCCACAAGAAAACTCTAAATAGTGCCCGGTGATGAAGAAAGACGAGCCAACCCTATTCGATGAAGAGGGTGCGGTAGACCATCTTGCCCAAGGGAGTCCGCGCACAGTATTCAAAAGAGGAGGGCGAAAAGCTGTCCTGACGTCTCCAACATAGACCGCAAATGGATCGACGATATCTGAGTGAGAAGTTCTCGGAAGGCAAGCAGCCCAATTAGTCTCGATATGAAATCTGGAACTTTCGTCACACGAAAACTTACAACCCCTAGCCCGATCGTTGAACGCGGCAACCCTCTGGGCCCCGCTTCCTGCGCCCCCGCCATTACGGACCCGCGCGCCACCGCATCCGCGCCAGGGAGACCGCGGGCGCGCTTTGGAAGATGGCGAACGGCGGGCGGGAGACAAGCAAAAAGGGAGACCGACAGACAGACAGACACACACACACACACACAAACAAACAAACATGCACGCACACACACACACACACACACACACACACACACACACACACACACACATACATACACACACACACAAACATGCACGCACACACGCACACACACACACACACACACACACGCACACGTACACACAAGCACACACACACAAATTTGGTCAGCAGCGAAGGCGGTCGCCAACGCGATCGGCAAACCGGCGGGCCGCGTCGCGGCAGGGGCACACCAGGCAAACTGGGAAGAGAGGAGGGCGGCCACTAGGGGAACGAATAATGACATAAACATAAAAACTCGGAGGTCCGCGCGGATTTCTCGGATCGGCGCTGGACCCCCCTCCCCGGCGCGCGGAGCGCGCCAGGGGCGGCGCCGGAGGCGCCGCCAGGGGGGTCCAGCGCCGATCCGAGACATCCGCGCGGACCTCCGAGTTTTTATGTTTATGCCATTCTTCGTTCCCCAAGCCACGGAGGAGGAACGCGGGGTGGGAGGCCTCACGCGTAGAGGATGCAGGCCACGAAGAACACACAGGCGGCCTCAGGCACAAAAGGCCGGCGTGCTGGAAGGTGAGCGGCCGGTGCGAGCTGCCGAAGGGGGGGCAGCGCAGGTCCCGCCGGAAAGGCGAACGCTTTTCGTCTTGCCTCCTCTCCCCCCTTCGCTCGCCCGCACCCCTCCTCCTCCTCCTCCTCCTCCTCCTCCTCCTCCTCCTTCTCCTCCTCCTCCTCCTCCTCCTCCTCCTCCTCGTCCTCCTCCTCCTCCTCCTCCTCCTCCTCCTCCTCCTCCTCCTCCTCCTCCCCCATCCACTGGGCAGCAAGAAAAATGCCAGTGCTGGGCCAAGACCGTCGGCGGACACACGCGCACACACGCAAGCACACACACACACACATACAAACACACACACACACACAAACACACACACACACACACACACACACACACACGCACGCACGCACACACACACACACACACACACACACACACACACACACACACACACGCTCCAGAGCCATCGCGCACGCTTTGATCCGCGCGTTCTGAAGGTCGAGCTAGCTTGAACGCTGAAGTATGGCGCCGAAGAGGGACCGTGCCATAATAATCCAACAGCGCAGGATGTCGACGGCGCCTTAGGGTCATCGCCAGACATTTGCAGACGCTCGACGGCCTCTAATGTCTGAGGGCGTGGACCAAATTATGATATAAAGGTCCTCCTGGCGCACCCTCGTGACGTCCTGAAATGGAGGGAGGACGGGGAGAAGATGAGGAAGAAAATCATCGAAGACGCATGCGGCGAATCACCGTCGCCCCCTGCCTTGGAGGGAGCTTATGTGGCCGAACGCTGCGGAAACATAACGCACGTATAGCCAATATCCAATAGAAAACTCAGTCGGCCGTGGATGAATTCTGACGGCCCACTTGGACCGCCTTTTGGCTGCCTCGGGGCTATTCGGGGCGGCTTGGGGGCCTGATTGGGCCATGGCAGCCTGTTTCTTGGGATTGCGATCCTGATTAGCCATGTGCACAGCTGTCAGAATAGGCCCCCTCCTCCCTACTCGCGCGTAGCCGATCCGCCTCCTCTCATCCTTCTTCCCCCCTTATTCCCCACCTTCCTCCCTCCCCGTTGCGTGTTGTATGCTCCGCCTGGCAGGGACTCTCTACCAGCACAATGCTTCGGCAATGAGCCTGGGGCGCTGTGGGCGCTGCAAAGCTTAAACGGCCACAAGTACGAATGACGGCAACACGCGCACAAAACCAATCAACCAACCCCTACTGCCACAAACGAAATCCAAACTCCTTCTCCTTCCTCCTCCCTCCTTCCCCCCGTCCTCCACTGCAAGCCCGCGCAGCCAGCGGGGGCGGCCAGGCACTGTTTGCGCGCTCGCCAGAGGCGACCGCGGCGGCGAGTTCTGCCGCGCGGCGCAGGCCCTGCTCGGCCGATGAGGTCGAGCCTACGGCGAGGCACCTCCGCCCAGTCGTCCTCCTCTTCCTCCTCATCCATCCCCTCCTCCTCCTCCTGCTTCTCCTCCTCCTCCTCCTCCTCCACCGCCTCCTCCTCATCATCATCATCATCACCATCATCACCATCATCATCAGCATCATCAGCATCATCAGCATCATCAGCATCATCAGCATCATCATCATCATCAGCATCATCATCATCGTCAGCATCATCATTCCTCGCCTCTTCGTCCTTTTCCTCATCCGCATCCTTCTCTTCGGTTCCTTTTTCCTTGTGGGTAAATCCTCCCTGTCGCACCCCGAAGCCAGTCGGCAGGGCGGGTCAGGCGCTTCATCTGATAATTCTTCACCATTTCTGATCCTGGGGTTTTGCAGCAGCTTCGCGGATAAAGGGCGGGTGGCTTTCAAACGTTGGCTCTCGCCTTAGCGCCGCGCACATTCGCCTTAAACTAAATGTTTGAAGAAGCTTCACAGATTGAGGGCGGGCGGTTTTCAAACTGTGGCTCTCGCCTGAGCGCCGCGCACACCTCTATTAAACATGTGTACGAACTCCACGAATTGAAGACATGCTGTTCTCGCCATAGCGCCGCGCACGCTCGTATGAAGCAATTGCAACAATTTCACGGATGGAGGGCGGGTTGTTCTCGTAATGCGGCTCTCGCCTTAGCACCGCGCCCATTCGCCATACAAAATTGCAACAACGTCACGAATAAAAGCTGGACCCTTTTTCAAAATGCAGTTCTCGCCTCAGCGCCGTGCAAATTCGGTGTAGGAGTTGACGGCAGCTCCTGGCTTTACACCAGTGTCTACAGGATTATCATGGCTAAAACCCCAGGTATGATGTATTGGCACGGTGTCGGACTGTCAGGACAAAACAGTTACATTTACTCGTGGTGATGAAGTCCCATAAATGGCGCTTTGGCGCGACCCCCGATCACCACGACGCAACAATAACGGCGGCTCGCGCCGCCGAAGTTCCAGGAATGGTGTCATCGCACAGCTCAGGGGTATCAAAAGGTTGGTTTCCAAGGGGGGGCACTCCCCCCAGTGAGAAAGAATCCTTGCAGGAGGCCTACGGAAGCAGAGCTTGGAGGGAGGGTTTACTGCAACATCGTTATTGGGCCTTGGGTTTGCACTGGTCCTCCTCCTCCTCCGCATCATCATCCTCCTCCCCCCTCTCCATCCTCCATCATCCATCCTCCAAAAACCATCCTCCTCCTCCTCCTCCTCCTCCTCCTCCTCCTCCTCCCCCTCCTCCTCGTCCGCCTCCTCATCCTCGTTCTCCTCCTCCCCCTCCTCCTCGTTCTCATCCTCCTCCTCCTCATCATCATCAGCATCAGCATCATCGCCGTCAGCAGCATCATCATCATCAGCATCATCATCATCATCATCACCATCATCATCATCACCATCATCATCATCATCATCATCATCATCATCAGCATTGTCATCATCATCATCAGCAACATCATCATCATCATCAGCATCACCAGCATCATCATCATCATCAGCATCATCATCATCATCATCATCATCATCATCATCATCAGCAGCATCAGCATCATCATCCGCATCCTAGTCCTTCTCCTCGGTGCTCCTGCATCAGTCCTCATCCTCCTCTTCCGCATCTTCTTATTAGTATTATCAATAGCATTACTATTCTTATGATTTGCCGTCTTCGTTTTACCAGTAGTATTAGTCTTATTCTTAGTAGTCCTATTATTCTTCTTCGTATTAGTATTATTCCTCGTATTAGTAATACTCGTCTTAGTATTCCTCCTCCTCCTCCTTCGCCTCCTCCTCCTCCTCCCCTCTCCTCCTCCTCCTCTTCCGCATCCTCCTCCTCCTCCTACTCCTCCTCCTCCTCCTCCTCCTCCTCCTCCTCCTCCTCCTGCTCCTCCTCGTCCGCCCCCCTCCTCCTCATCCTCCTCCTCCTCCTCATCCTCCTCCTTCTCCTCCTCCCCTCCCCCAAGTCCTCATCCGCATCCTCCTCTTCCTCCTCCTCATCCGCATCCTCCCCTTTCGCCTCTATGCTCCTTCACCACCGCCACCCCATCCATCCTCGATCCTCCATCCTCCAAGCTCCATCCTCGTCCTCCTCCTGATCTTCCTACCCCTCGTCTTCCCCCCACACCACCACC